TACCGTTCTTTTACATACCATTATAAGGAAAAATTGCTGCCTATTAACCTTTGACATGCCATTAACTATGGCTACATCTCACTTATGCAGACGTTAAAAGGTGGCAAAAGGGGATAGTTAGTGAATTTTAGAATCAAATAAGACAGAAGAGACAGTCAGACAAATAAGTGGCATATATGCCACTATGGTTAATTCCCATAGGGAGGCAGGTACTCCAGCAGCCATTAGTACCCTGCCACAGCTGCCCCTATATTTTTGTATATTTTTATATAAATTTAAAAAAAAACCACTCCAGACAACTGCTTGGTATGACTTTCTGGATGCCTCACATCACCTGACAGATTTCACTCATCCAAGCTCCTTGGTGAAAATATCCACACCACTGCCACAGTGCAGCATTTCTTTTTGGAATTAATAGAGAAAATCCTAATAACCAGAAATGTTGTTTCCTTTCTTATGCTCCTCTGATGAATCACATACATTTTTTTTCCAGAACTATCTGGTATTCTCCAGTTCTGAAGTGCAACAAGAAATAATCCTCAAGTTGCACCCCTTCCTCTGTTTAAAATCCTTGAAGAACTCTCTATGTGATCTGTAGGAAAAGCTAAATTCCTTAAGCAAAGAACATAAAATTTTGTATCAGCTGGTCCCTATGCACCATATGAGTCTCATCATGCATAACTCTCTTACATATGTTGAGACACAGCCATATTACATGGCCTGTAGTTTATTAGACATATAATGTTTTCTTCAGTTATCTGCTACTTATCCTACTCATTCTGAAAATCATTGAGAATGAAATCCTGCTCCTTCTAACTGAGCTCAAATTTTACCCTTCTCTGATGTCTAAAGCCAGAGTGAAGTCTTCCATAAATACTTTCATATATATATATCTATATATTTCATATATAGATATATATATTTCTCATATATATTTCATATATATATATATATATATATATACACACACACACACACACTACGTATGTTATAGTCATGGTATCTGCCATGCGCAGACTTAAGTAGCCTTTGGCCAGAGCCCAAGGCTCTGGGGACAGCATGCATTATTCTGTGCATAGAAAGAAGCCAAAGATTATAATTTTGCATATTTTCTGAGGGCAGCCCTATCAAAAGCTGACTGGTATGAAGACCTTTGACAAATACAAGTGATGGCAATTAACTAAACCAATAAGACTGAGTGTCTTCAGGATTTAGACTAGAGAAGAGAATCAGCCTTTTGGTTGAAAAAGAGAAGGAGCAACTACATAGAGGGGTAACACCATAGCGGAGGCTATAAAAGCCATATGAACTGGTAAAAGGTACATACCCGTAGAGGTATTCCCAATTGTTTCCCAGTTCTAGTTAAAATTCCATGTATCTCCTTATCATATATTCCTTATTACTTAAAATGACTCAAGCCTCTGTTTTTTACAACAAAAAGATCCAGGTACGAATATATGTATGTGTTATATTTTTAATATGTGAAATCATTCCTTCAGTGTTTATTGAGCAGTTAATGTGTACCAAGCACTGTTCAATGGTGGTAGGTATACAGTGGTAGACAGAAGAAACAAGGGTCCTGCTTTCATACATTCTAGTAGAAAAGACAAATAATAAGCAAGAAGATAAATAATTTCAGATAGTAAATGGCCAAATAGGAAGAGCTCTGGTCTGCAGCTCCCAGTAAGACCAATGCAGAAGGAGGGTGATTTCTGCATTTCCAACTGAGGTACCCAGTTCATCTCATTGGGACTGGTTAGGCAGTGGGTCCAACCCATGAAGGGTGAGCAGAAGCAAGGTGGGGTGTCACTTCACCCAGGAAGTAGGAGGAGCTAGGGTCCTCCCACCCACATCCAAGGAAAGCCATGAGGGACTGTGCTACCCAGCCGGGTTACTATGCTTTTCTCATAGTTTTTGCTGTCTGTAGATCAGGAGATTCCCCTGTGTGCCTACACCATCAGGGCCCTGAGTTTCAAGCACAAAACTGGGTGGCTATTTCCTGCGGAACCAGAGTGACAGAGAACTGTTTGCTCCCCTGAAAAGTGGGCAGAAGCCAGGGAGACAAGTCGTCTTGCTCAGCAGGTCCCACTTCCATGGGGCCCAGCAAGCTAACAACCACTGGCTTGAAATTTTGCTGAAAGCACGGCGGTCTGAAGTCATCCTGGGACAATAGAGTTTGGTCGGGGGGAGAGGTATCCACCATTACTGAGGCTTGAGTAGGTGGTTTTCCCCTGACAGTGCTAAGGAGACTGGGAGGTCTGGGCTGGGCCTGGCAAAGTGGCTGTGGCTAGACTGCTTCTCTAGATTCCTCCTCACTTGGTAGGACATCTATGAAGGAAAGGTAACAGCCTCAGTCACTTATAGAAAAAAACCCCATCTCCCTAGGAGAGAGCACCTGTGGGCACAGCTTCAACAGAGTTAATTGTTTCTGCCTACTGGCTCTGAAGAGAGCAGCAGATCCTGACAAGAGGGATTCACCCAGCACAGTGCACCAGCTCTACTAAGGAACAGACTGTCTCCTCAAGTGGGTCCCTGACTCCCATGCCTCCTGACTAGGAGAAACTTCCTAACAGGGGTGGACAGACACCTCAAACAAAAGAACTCCAGCTGGTATCAGTCTTGTGCCCTTCTGGGATGAAGCTTCCAGAGGAAAAAGCAGGCATCCTCCATTAGTGATACCCAGGTGTACAGGATCTGGAGTGGACCTCCAGCAAACTGTGGCAGACCTGCAGAAGAGGGGCCTGCCTGTTAGAAGAAAAACTAACAAACAGAAAGCAACAACATCAACATAAAAGAACGCCACAAAAAAACCCCATCCAAAGGTCATCAGCCTCAAAGATCAAAGGTAGATACATCCACGAAGATGAGGAAAAATCAGTGCAAAAACACTGAAAATTCCAAAAACCAGAATGCCTCTTCTCCCCCAAATGATCATAGCTCCTCAACAACAAGAGCACAAAACTGGACAAAGAATGAGGTTGGAGAATTGACAGAAGCAGGTGTCAGAAGGTGGGTAATAACAACCCCTCTGTGCTATAGGAGTATGTTCTAACCCAGTGCAAGGAAGCTAAGAACGTTGATAAAAAGTTACAGAAACTGCTAACTAGAATACCCAATTTAAAGAGAAACATAAATGAACTGATGGAGCTGAAAAACACAGCATGAGAATTTCGTGAAGCACACAGAAGTATCAGTAGCTGAACTGATAGAGCAAAATAAAGGATATCAGAGACTGAAGGTCAGCTTACTGAAATAAAATATGAAGACAAGAATAGAGAAAAAAGAATGAAAAGGAACAAACAACGCCTCCAAGAAATATGGGACTATGTGAAAATAACAAATCTATGATTGATTGGTGTACCTGAAAGTGACGGGGAGAATGGAACTAAGTTGGAAAACACACTTTAGGATATTATCCAGAAGAAGTTCCCCAAAATAGCAAGGCAGGCCAACATTCACGTTCAGGAAATACAGAGAACACAACTAACATACTCCTTGAGAAGAGCAACCCCAAGTCACATAATCATCAGATTTTCCAAAATTGAAATGAAGGAAAAATGTTAAGGACAGCCAGAGAGAAAGCTCAGGTTACCTACAAAGGGAAGCCCATCAGACTGACAGTGGATCTCTTCACAGAAACCCTATAAGCCAGAAGAGAGTAGGGGCCAATATTCAAAATTCTTAAAGAAAAGAATTTTTCAACCTGGAATTTCATACACAGCCAAACTAAGCTTCATCAGTGAAGGAGTAATAAAATTCTTTACAGACAAGCAAATGCTGAGAGATTTCGTTGCCACCAGGCCTGCCTTAAAAGAGCTACTGAAGGAAGCACTAAATATGGAAAGGAACAAGTGGTATCAGCCACTGCAAAAACATACCAAAATATGAAGACCAGTGAAACTATGAAGAAACTGCATCAACTAATGTGAAAATAACCAGCTAGCATCATGATGACAGGATCAAATTCACTCATAACAATATTAAACTTAAATGTCAATGGGCTAAATGCCCCAGTTAAAAGACACAGGCTGGCAAATTGGATAAAGGGTCCAGACCCATCAGTGTGCTGTATTCAGGAGACTGATCTCACATGCAAAGACACACATAGGCTCAAAATAAAGGAATGGAGACCTATTTACAAAGCAAATGGAAAGTTAAAAAAAAAGCAGGAGTTGCAATTCTAGTCTCTGATAAAACAGACTTTAAACCAATAAAGATCAAAAAAGGCAAAGAAGGGCATCATATAATGGTAAAGGGATCAACACAACAAGAAGAGCTCCACTATCCTAAATATATATACACCAAATACAGGAGCAACCAGATTTGTAAAACACGTTATTACAGACCTACAAAGAGACAGACACCCACACAATAGTACTGGGAGACTTTAACACCCAAATATTCAATATTAGACATATCAGTGAGACAGAAAATTAGCAAGGATATTCAAAACTTGGACTAAGAGGACCTAATGGACATCTACAGAACTCTATACCTCAAATCAACAGAATACACATTCTTCTCAGCACCACATATCATGTATTCTAAAATAGCCCACATAATTGGAAGTAAAACACTCCTCAGCAAATGCAAAATAATGGAAATCATAACAGTCTCTCAGACCACAGTACAATCAAATTAGAACTTGGGATTAAGAAACTCACTCAAAACCACACAACTACATAAAAACTGAACAACTTTCTCCTGAATGACTCCTGGGTAAATAACGAAATTAAGACAGAAATCCAGAAGTTCTTGGAAACAAAGGAGAACTAAGAGATAATGTACCACAATCTCTAGGACACAGCTAAAGCAGTGTTAAGAGGGAAATTTACAGCACTAAATGCCCACATCAGAAAGTGGGAAACATCTAAAATCAACACCTTAACATCACAATTAAAAGAACTAGAGAAGCAAAAGCAAACAAATGCAAAAGTTAGCAGAAGACAAAAAATAAATAAGAGCAGAACAGAACTGAAGGAGATAGAGAAATGAAAAACCTGGAGAGAGATGCAAGATGGCTGATCACGAGCAGCTTGAAATTGTAGCTCCCAGTGAAAGCACAGAGAATGAGAGGACGCCACACTTTCAGACGAATTTTTGTTGCTCAAGGACCAGGAGATTCCCAGCGGAGGAGCCCCACGGGTCGCCAGCATGACTCTTGTGGCCGGCGAGGCGGTTTTGCTGCTGCCTTGGTGCGGCGGTTTTTGGTGCAGAGTCAGAAAAGCACCATCAATCTTAATGCCACTGTTTTGACCGGCAGAAACCCAATTATAAAGACGGGGATTATAAAGACCACAGATGGATAAATCTATAACAAAGGGAAGAAACCAGCCTAAAAAGGCTGAAAATACCCAAAATTATAATGCCTCTGCCTCTACAGGAGATCACGGTTCCTTATCAGCAACAGAACAAGGCCTGATGGAGAACGAGTGTGTTCCATTAACAGAAGCAGGCTTCAAAAGGTGGATGATAAGAAACTTCTGTGAATTAAAAGAACTTGTTCTAATCCAATGCAAAGAAACTAAGAACTTTGAAAAAAGGTTTGACGAAATGTTAACAATACACAATTTAGAGAGGAATATAAGTGAACTAATGGAGCTGAAAAACACAAGAATTTTGCGAAATATGCACAAGTTTTAACAGCTGAATTGATCAAGCAGAAGAAAAGATATCAGAGGTTGAAGACTAACCTAATAAAATAAAACAAGAAGACAAGATTAGAGAAAAAAGGATAAAAAGGAATGAGCAAAGTATCCAAGAATTATGGGACTACGTGAAAAGACCTAATCTACGTTTGATAGGTGTACCTGAATGTAACGAAGAGAATCAATCCAAGCTGGAAAATATGCTTCAGGATATTATTCAGGAAAACTTTCCCAACCTAGCAAGGCAGGACAATATTCAACTCCAGGTAATACAGAGTACACCACAAAGATATTCCTTAAGAAGACCAACCTCAAGGCACATAATCGTCAGATTCACCAGGGTTGAAATGAAGGAGAAAACACTGAGGGCAGCCAGAGAGAAAGATCAGGTTACCCATAAAGGAAAGCCTATCAGACTCACAGCAGATCTCTCAGCAGAAACCCTACAAGCCAGAAGAGAGTGGGGGCCAATATTCAATATCCTTAAAGAAAAGAACTTTCAACCCAGAATCTCCTATCCAGCCAAACTAAGCTTCATAAGTGAAGGAAAAATAAAATCTTTTGTGAACAAGCAAGCACTCAGAGGTTTCATCACCACCAGGCCAGCTCTACAAGAGCTTCTGAAAGAACCACTATACATAGAAAAGAACAACCAGTATCAGCCTTTCTAAAAAATACCAAAAAGTAAAGAGCATCAACATAATCAAGAATTTACATTAACTAATGGGCAAAACAGCCAGCTAACATTAAATGGCAGTATTAAACTCACATATATTATTATTAATCCTAAATTTAAATCGACTAAATCCCACAATCCAAAGACACAGACAGGCAAAAAAAGCCAAAGCCCATCGGTATGCTGCATCCAGACCCATCTCACATGCAAGGATACCCAAAGACTCAAAACAAAGGGATAGAGAAAGATTTACCAACCAAATGGAGAGCAAAAATAAATGAATGAATAAAAAACAGGAGTTGCAATTTTTGCCTCTGATGAAATAGACTTCAAAGCAACAAAGATCATAAGAAGCAAAGAAGGATATTACATGATAAAAGGATCAATGAAACAAGAAGAGCTAAAGATCCTAAATATATACACACCCAATACAGGAATACCCAGATATATAAGGCTTATAAAGAGACTTAGACTCCCACACAATAATAGTGGGAGACTTCAACATCAATATTAGATAGATCAATGAGACAGAAAATTAACAACGATATCCAGGATTTGAACTCAGATCCGGAAGAAGTAAACTTAATTAACATTTATAGAACTCTCCACTTTAAATACACAAAATATACACTCTTATCAGTACCACATCACACCTACATACAGGTTTAAATGAAATACTGGTTGGCTGCTTGTTTGTTATTTTCTTCCCTCACTTTTTTTCCACGTCTCTATTATTAAGCACAATTATAGGCATACCCATTTTATTGCATTTTAGCCCAGACAATAAAGCAACATCCCTGTTCTCTCTCCCTCTTCCTCTTCCTTTCTCTCCTTCATTTTTTAAAATTCTTTTCTTTCTTTCTTTTTCTCTTTCTTCAAAAAAAAGAAAGAAAAACCCTTCAAAAAATGAATGAATCTAGGAGCTGGTTTTGTGAAAAGAGTAACAAAATTGATGAACCACCAGCTAGACTAATAAAGAAAAAAAGGGAGAAGAATAAAACAGACACAATAAAAAAATGATAATGGGGATATCACCACTGATACCCCACAGAAATACAAACTACCATCAGAGAATACTATAAACATCTCTATGCAAATAAACTAGAAAATCTAGAAGTTGATAAATTCCTGGACACCTGCCTGAGATGAAACCAGGAAGAAGTTCAATCCCTGAATAGACCAACAACAAGTTCTAAAACTGAGGTAGTAATTAATAGGCTACTAATCAAAAAAGCTTAGGACCAGACACAGTCACAGCCAAATTCTACCAGAGGTACAAAGAAGAGTTAGTACCATTCTCTTCTGAAACTATCCAAACAATAGAAAAAGAGGTACTACTAGCTAACTCATTTTATGAGGCCAGCATTATCCTGATACCCAAATCTGGTGGAGATGCAACAAAAAAAGAAACATTCAGGCCAATATCCCCGATGAACATTGATGCAAAAATCCTCAGTAAAATACTGGCAAACCAAATCCAGCAGCACATCAAAAATTTTATCAACCACAATAAAGTCAGCTTCATCCCTAGGATACAAGGCTGGTTCAACATACACAAATCAATAAATGTAATTCAACACATAAACAGAACCAATGACAAAACCACATATTTATCTCAAGAGTTGCAGAAAAGATCTTTGGTAAAATTCAACATCCCCTCATGCTAAAAACTCTCAACAAACTAGGTAGTGATGGAGCATTTCTCCAAATAATAAGATCTATTTATGGCAACCCCATAGCCAATATCACATTGAATGAGCAAAAGCTAGAGCTGGCACAAGACAAGGATGCCCTCTCTCCCCACTTCTATTGAACATAATATTGGAAGTTCTGCCCAGGGCAATCAGGCAAGAGAAAGAAAGAAAGAGTATTCAAATAGGAAGAGGGAAAGTCAAACTGTCTCTGTTTGTAGATGACGTGATTGTATATTTAGAAAACCCCACTGTCTAAGCCCCAAATCTCCTTAAGCTGATAAGCAACTTCAGCAATGTGTCAGGATACAAAATCAATGTGTGAAATCAAAGGATTCCTATACACCAACAATAGACAAACAGAGAGCCAAAACATGTGTGAACTCCCATTCACAATTGCTACAAAGAGAATAAAATACCTAGGATTACAACTTACAAGGGATGTAAGGACCTCTTCGAGGAGAACCACAAACCACTGCTCAAAGAAATAAGAAAGGACACAAACAAATGGAAAAACACTCCATGGTCATGGATAGGAAGAATCAATATTGTGAAAATGGCCATAATGCCCAAAGTAATTTGTAGATTCAATGCTATTCACATCAAGCTACTGTTGACTTTCTTCACAGAATTAGGAAAAAACCACTATAAATTTCATACAGAACCAAAAAAGAGCCCATATAGCCAAGACAATTGTAAACAAAAAGAACAAAGCTGGTGACAATCTTAAGCAAAAAGAAAAAGATGGAGGCATCAAGTTACCCGACTTCAAACTATACTGCAAGACTACAGTAACCAAAACAGCATGGGACTGGTACCACAACAGATATACAGATCAAGGGAACACAACAGCAACCTCAGAAATAACACCACAAATTTACAACCACCTGATCTTTGAGAAACCTGACAAAAACAAGCAATGGGGAAAGGATTCCCTGTTTAACAAATGGTGTTGGGCAAACTGGCTAGCCATGTGCAGAAAACAGAAACTGAACCCCTTCCTTACACCTTATATAAAAATTAACTCAACATGGATTAAAGACTTAAATGTAAAACCCCAAACCATAAAAACCCTAGAAGAAAACCTAGGCAATACCATTCAGGACACAGGCATGGGCAAAGATTTTATGACTAAAACACCAAAAGCAATGGCAACAAAAGCCAAAATTGACAAATGGGATCTAATCAAACTAAAGAACTTCTGCACAGTAAAATAAACTATCATCAGAGTGAACAGGCAATCTACAAAATGGTAGAAAATTTTTGCAAGCTACCCATCTGACAAAGGTCTAATATTGATTCTGCAAGGAACTTAAACAAATTTACAAGAAAAAAAACAAACAACCCCATCAAAAAGTGAGTAAAGGATATAAACAGACACCTCTCAAAAGAAGACATTTATGCGGCCAACAAACATATGAAAAAAAGCTCATCATCACTGGTCATTAGAGAAATGCAAATCAAAATCACAATATCAGTTAGAATGGCAACCATTAAAAAGTCAGGAAACAGGTGCTGGAGAGGATGTGGAGAAATGAACACTTTTACATTGTTGGTGGGAGTGAAAATTAGTTCAACCATTGTGGAAGACAGTGGGGTGATTCCTCAAGGATCTAAAACCAGAAATTTCATTTGACCCACCTATCTCATTACTGTATATATATCCAAAAGATTACAAACCATTCTACTATAAAGACACATGCACACGTATGTTTACTGCAGCGCTGTTCACAATACAAAGACTTGGAGCCAACCCAACCGCCCATCAATGACAGACTAGATAAAGAAAATATGTCACATATACACCACAGAATACTATGCAGCTATAGAAAAGAATGAATTCAAGTCCTTTGCAGGGACATGGATGAAGCTGGAAGCCACCATTCTCAAACACAGGAACAGAAAACCAAACACCTCATGTTCTCACTCACAAGTGGGAGTTGAACAATGAGAACACGTGGACACAGGAAGGGGAACATCACACACCAAGGCCTACAGCGGAGGATGAGGATTAAGGGGAGAGAGAACATTAGGGCAAATATCTAATGCATGAGAGGCTTAAAAGCTAGGTGATGAGTTGACGGATGCAGTAAACCACCATAGAACATGCATACTTATGTAACAAACCTGCATGTTCTGCACA